CCCCCCCCCCCCCCGGCCTGCGCGCTGCCCCTGTGATGCGTGTCGTGAAGCTGCTGTCTGCGGCGTTGTCCCTTTGTGTAGCGTCCGTGTACCCAGGATGCATGATGCTGTGCGCCGGCGGCCGACTAAACCCGTGGATGGGCTGCATCACGTATGCTCTCGTTAGCGCCTGGGCATCGTTTGAGCAGTCTTGGTTTGTGGCATGCAAGATGTGGGGTGCTCCCTGGCCACGTCACTCGTACTCCGGCGCGATGGCCCAGCACGGTGCTCGCACCACCCCGCCTGTCTTCCTGCGGTGCCCATCTGTCCTCAATAAAGCGAGATGAAGAACAGCTCCCCGGGCCTGTGGCCTTGTTGCAATGAAAGGAAGGGAGCTGGGGAGGGTGGGGGGGCCGTGTCTGGGCTGGAGAGGTGGCAGTAGAGGTAACAAAGTGCTCAAGGTGATGGGGGTTTTCTCTTTGCCGCCCCAAACGGTGGGCCCTGAGCCAGCCTGGGTTTACAACTCGACTCCTGGTCTCTCCCAGGGCATGTCCAAACCCAGCCGGTGCCTGAGTCAGGGGCTCGGGGTGGGTGGTTGATTTTGAGGCATATGTTGCATTTCTCCTGCATCCATGCACCAGAATAATGCCAGCTGCGCTGGTATAAATGCATCATTTTGGTGCTCACAGACACATGTGCTCCCATCAAACCCACTGCAGGCTGGTCACAAGGATGTCGGCGGGGGCTAAACACCAAGTACCACCACTGCCTCCCCTGCTAGTGCCCCATGCCCCCAAGGGACCAGCTTCAGGGGTGAAGAGCTGGGCTCAGCCCTAAATTCACTCCACTGGCTCCAACCCCGGCTCCTCAGGTTGTATCCTACATCTGTTTGCTCCCAGGATGAGAGGAAAGGATAGAGGGGGGGGTATTGTTAGAGCTCACCATATAAATAGGCTCTGAGAGGGGAGGCTGAGCCAGCTGGATGCTGCTTCCCTTGTTTTTTCACCCACAAACCTGATGCTGAGTGGGGGACGGCTCTTGTCCCTATAGGACACTGATTCTCCGCGGGACAAGTCTCACGGATGCTCCTTGGAGCTCCCTGACCCATACGTGCTCGTGCACAGGAGCAGAGAGGACCCTAAAGGGGCTGGAGGTGGGGACCCCTCCCAGCTCACAAGTCCCCCACGCTAGCCCTGTTATATGCCAAGGAGATGGAGAGGCCAGGCAGGTGAGACTGCACAGCTGACCCCTTTAATATGTTCATTAGAAAAGAGGTTTCTGGTACAAACGATGCAGAACAAATGCCCCAGCGAGCTCGGCTTGGCACGAGAGGCCGACGCGAGCTGGTTGCTCATGCCTCTGAGCACGGGGCGTCCAAGGACCCCACTTGCTTTCAGCCTCCCCATGCTAGGGGGTGCATCATCCCCCTTGTATCTCACCCCAGACGGGGGGCTGGGAACTGAAGGGGAAAGGGGCTGTAGGCAGGGAATAGGCTCAGGTCTTCCTGTCCTTTCCCACACCCACCCCGGCACCGTGCTCTGCAAAGTCCTTTCCATGCAACCTCCAGCCTTGGAGGCTTCCTTGAGGGTTAAAATTATTGCTGGGCCCAAACCAGGACCCCGGATCAGAACAACCTCAACATGGGAGCAGGGAGGCAGCAGCAAAGGGCATCAAAATCCTCCCAGCCCAGCTCCAAAATTCACTGTCCAGCCAAGCCACCGCCAGAGATGCTTCCCCGGGGCAGTGGCTCTAGTCCCAGGTATGGGAACCGGTGGTGGCACCGTAAGGAACGGGGAGCACCAGGCCCTTCACTGAAACACGCCAAGGGCTCCCTGCCCTCCGTCGCCTCGGCCCACACCGAGAAGCCAGGGTCCAGCGAGGTCGTTGCAGGCCGCGTGCCTGGACAGAGGTGGTGGGAGCGTGCCAGGCAGGTGCCACCCATCTTGCCAGCCACGGGTGAGCAACACATCTCACCCAGGTGGGATGTAGGAAACAGGGTGGAGGGTGAAGGCTCCTGTTGCAGACAAGCTGGCTTGGCCACTTCTGGTCTGGAAAGCCCTGCTTGCCCCTGGCAAAGGGACCCTTTGGATTATCCGGCACAGCTTCGGATAAGGTCACAGCCATTCGGAGGCTCAAGGATGGGGATGGGCCAAGCTGAAGATGTCCATGGTGCAGGAGAGGAGCGGGACTGTGACAAGGGCACAGCAGCAATGGCGTGTCCCGCCAAGGAGACAAAGCCAGGGCTTCTTTAATGAGTGATGGAGCCGCCAGCCACGGGCGCTGGAAGCTCCTGGACCTGCAGGATGCAAGGAGCCCCTGGGATAGGGCTGGTGCAGAAGCGAGCAGCGTGCTTAAAGCTCAGCCTGCTGCAGACGCGAGGCCAAGTCCTGGGCTGAAAAGGATCCAGAGGACAGAAGCAGTGGGTGCACGGCATGAGGGGGCAGGGCTGGGCATGCAAAGCAGCTTGCAGGGCGGTCTGATGCCCCTCTGTGCACCCTGGAGGGGTCTGGACCACACCATGTCCATCTCTTCCAGCGTCACGGAGGTTAGGTGTCAGCAGGGGCATTTCCATGGCATCGGTGAGCTTGCAGAGGGGGTAAACCTAGCCCCTGTGACCCTCCCCAGGCCTTTGGTGCTGGGTCTTAACTGGCAGGAGCTCTGGTCCTTTGATGCAAGCCCAGCTCTGGGCAAGCTGCCCATCTAAGCTTGCTGGGAGCACTTTGCACTAAGACCTGGTGCAGCGAGAGCTCTCCCCTCGGGGGATAAACCCCATGCAGGACTGTGTCCTCGCTGCCCCAGCCCCTCCACATCGACTCAGCTCACCAGCTGGATCCTCCGGGCCAGGAGGAGGATAAACCACAGCCCTTCTGGTGCCTCCTGGCAGCACGGGGCAATGCTGACGTGAGTCACGGGGCTTGGTGTCCGCAGCACCCATTTGCAATGCTATGGCTCATGGCAGCAGCGAGGTGAGCTCTGGCAGCCCTGATGCCACGGTCTAGGCCAGCTGCCTCCTAACTGAGAAAACACCCCTCAAAAGGCATCCGGCATTGGGACAGGGAGTGATCCAGGTCCCACTGCACCTCCAAAGGGCTGGAATTTAGTTGGATGCAAGCTGCAGCCAAAGGCAACAGGCTGGTAAGTCCCAGGAAGCCCCCAATGCGCAGGGAGCTCACGGTGGGATGGGATCCCTGCACCCACAACCTCAGGATCCATCACAGCGTGCTACCAGAAGGTCCAGGGCGGCTGCATCATTTCATACGTGGGGATGCTGGAGACGTTAACGGGGATGGAGATGATGGCCCAGGGCAAGCCGTGCTGCTCCAAGGAGCGCCGGATCATGTACCTAGGGAGACAGAGCTGTCATGGAGATGCCCGCGAATGGTGGGAGTCAGCGAAGTGGGCGGCTCGGAGCTGGATGTGTGCTGGGACTGGCCAGAAGAGGCAGGTCCAGAGCGAACCACCCCTGGACTGCACTGAGGTCTGGTCTGGGGGGTGGGGGCAGCAGCTTTCTGGACCCTAGAGAGGGCAGAAGCCACTCAGCCCTTCCCTAGAGACTTCCCTGGCAATTAGGGCTGGGCCCATCATTGGGAGGGGGCAGACTGCAATGCAGAAGGCCACCCTGCCATAGCAACTGAATGAATCCAGGCAGCAAGGAAGTGTGCTCCCCAGCTCTAGCTAAGTCCTCCAAGGACCCAGACCAGGGTCTATCGGCTGTAATCTCTGCTATGACCAGGAGGTCTGCAGACAAACAGAGGACTCCTGTCCCCATTGCCTGGGGTGTCTACTGGGTTGGGGGTGGCAAGACTGGCTGCAGGGGGGCACAGCCCCTTCCCTGTGCTGCGAGGAGGGGAAGGAGACACGGGCACCCACCCATCCCTGCCGAGCAGGAAGAGAGCGGGGATGTCGGCGGTGCGCTGGGTGCTGTCCTGGATCATCTCAACATAGAAGCTGTCGTTGTCATAGGCATTGTCGGCGATGATCACCGCCCGCCCGCCGTGCTCCTGGACCACCCGTGTCTTTGACAGGAATGAGCAGCCCCTGCAATGAGAAATACCCCCACCCCACATGCACACAACCCTGGTGATGCCAGGGCCCATCCTCACCTTGCAAGAGCTGGGCTAGGAGCACCCTGGAGGGCTCTGGGAGCTGGGGTTTGGTGGCAGGGCCAGGGAGGGACCGGCAAGGCTGACTTCTTGCAGGACTCTTGGGGAATAATAATGCTTCTCAAGCCACAGCAGGACCCCGCTGGCCACTAGCACCTGGGAACTGCCCAGCCCCAGGCCCCTCAGCTCCTCCCTAGGCAGGGGACATGGAAAGGCTTCACAGGACAGGTGCAAGCCAGCTCCTCGGAGCCAACAGCGTGACACCCGCCCCTGCGCTCCCTGCAGCCCAGCATGGCAAGGATGCCCGTGTCCAGCCGTCTCTGCAGGCAAGAGCCCCGAGATGCAGCGCATCTCCTTGACTACTGCCACGATCACACCGTGAATACCCCCATGCCCTGTCTTACCCCCGTTCCACCAGGGCAATCTGGTCCTGGATGAAGACGCCATTGCTGAGCTCCCCGCAGGCTTCGGGGGGGTCAGCCGGCACCAGGTGGATCTGCTCGTACCTCGTGTTCTGGGAGGAAATGCCCCATGCCAGGAGAGAGGGCAGAGACAGAGGGTTTCTGCTGGGGCGGCTGCAGCTACAAGATGCCCCACTCCTCCCCCAAAAAAGCCTGGTGTATGACCATGCTGGCCTCAGGGAGATGCATAGTTAACAGGCCGCCAGCATCCACATTAAGGTGTTTCACGGGCACCCCTGCTGCAGCCTCTTCCTGCAGGGATTTTGAAGCAGGGGGTGTTTGTGCACACAAGCCCAGGCTCACATACGCGCCTGCTCCCTGGGAATGCATTCGCACATTAGCACCAGGGGGACTTCAATCACTTTTGTAGACCAATGCATTACACCGGTGCCCAGAGCGGTAATAACCTGCTTGCACTGAGCGAGCCGCTGTCCTGGGATAGAAGCAGACGCACAGCAGCTAAGCCGGGTTAACTTACATCAGAGTAGCTCTAGCCCTAATTTTCCCTGGGGGAAGTCTGGACTGCGTGCCAGTTCAGCACACCAGCACAGGGCTGCAGGTTGGTAGCTCCTTTCCACAGTAGTGCAAGGGTATATGTGTGCAAATCCGCTTTGCATTTGCTAAGGAGCACAGAAGGTGCAAAGCAATTGTGAGCAGGCCCTAAGCCCTATCTAACCTGTTCTTGAACCTAGAAAGAAGCACTTTTCTCCCACTCCAACCAGGATGTCCTGCTCGTGGTTGAGAAATGGCAGCAGGTGGCTGCATCCCATTGTCCTGCTCTTGACAGAGATCCAGAAACGCCGGGGCAGCCGCTGAGTCCTCGCCTGGCAGCCAGAAACTCAGGACCCAGCAAAGCAAACATTGGCCATTAACTCTGGAGTTTTTTGTCC